ATCAACAGAATCAATACTGATGTATTCTTCTAATTCACTTGACTGCTTTTGCGAAGCATTTTCATTCAAATCAAATGAATCCTTATTTTTAGCACAGAAAATAACTGTTAGTATTAAATTACTTTGATGTTAAATAATTGTCCCTGATATTTTGCCACATTTGACTAATTCCACAATCTCATCCAAATTTCACATGCCATCTTTATCCCATTCTTGCCATCCTCATGCCTCCCATCATTACCCAACCATATCTGTTGGAATCAATCCCTTTAGTCAGAGTAACTTAATTTATTGGGGTCCCTTTACCTTCTGCTGTTTTGTTCTCCATCAGTCCCTCCCCTGTTCCACCTCATCAGCGCCCTTACCATTGCTAATGGTTGGCATCTACATAAAGCCACTGCCTTCACCATGTGGATTTCTGTGTGCAGCAGGTACTGCCCTCCAAATAAACACACTAAGAGCCACACACCTAAAACTGACCAATTAAAACAGTCTACAGATAAAAAAAACCTTAGTTGTTATGATTGTAAATTGTGTTTTCTTTTTAATTTATTTTCATTGGCAAAATCTATTAAGTAGTTATTGACCAAACTTGTTTTAACTATCTCAATCATAATGAGCAGAGGAGGAAAGCAAATTCAGTGAAATGACTTAGAATGATAGGGCAATATGATATGCTTTTGAAAATAAAAAGCCTTGAATCAAAGAGGAAATTAGGCTAAATAACTTCTTGCAGTTTACTAGAGAACATTTGCGGGGATATGAAGGAACAGCAGGTGTGTGGAACTAATTAAAAAACAAAAGAACTGCGGGTGCCAGGAATCAGAAACAAAAACAGAAATTGCTCAGCAGGCCTGGCAGCATCTTTGGAGAGAAATCAGAGTTTACGTTTCGGGTCCAGTGTCCCTTCCTCAGAAGTCTGAACACTGACAGTCAGAGGAAGGGTCACTGGACCCAAAACGTTAACTCTGATTTCTTTCCAAAGATGCTGCCAGACCTGCTGAACTTTTCCAGCAATTTCTGTTTTTGTTGTACTAATTAGATGGCTCTGGCAATGAGCCAAGACTGCAATGACGGACAGAATGTCTTGTGCTGCATGATTCCATAATGGTATGAATAATTTGCTCAGTCTGTGTAGTCCTTCTAAACAGCATTTACGTTTTGCTAAAAGCATAAATTGAGGACAAGATAGTAGAATAAATATTAGTTCAATTGCATGGATTATTTGAAACAGTATCAGAAACAATACTAGGGGTTAGTTATATGTAAACTTTTCACCTGCATGTACATATATTTTGTTATGATCCCCAATGAAACCTTTCTCTTATGAAAAGAGATATGAATTTTTTAGCACCTCACGTAAAAAATCACACAAGTTGTCACATATTAAGACTTCAATTGTAACAAACAAACTAAAATGAACATAGACTCAACATTAATAGATAACTAACATACCAAACTACAGAAAACTACTTAGCTAAGCAAATCAGACCTCATTTGTATGTTACACCATGCTGTCAGTAAACAAAGTCCCACAATCCTCCCAGATTGTCAAAATGCTGTCTGCTGTCTGCTACTTGAAGGCAAGCCTTTCAGTTAATCATCCGAGTGTATGAGCTGACTTTCAACCACAAGCACCATCTCTTTGAACAAAACAAAAGATCCCCCTCAGCATCCTAGACAACAAGGTGCAGGGCTGGATGAACACAGCAGGCCAAGCAGCATCATAGGAGCAGAGAGGCTGACGTTTCGGGCCTAGACCCTTCATCAGAAAAGGGGGAGGGGAAGGGGGTTTTGAAATAAATAGGGAGAGAGTGGGAGGCGGATAGAAGAGGGATAGAGGAGAGGATAGGTGGAGAGGAAACAAACAGGTCGAAGAGGCGGGGATGGGGCCAGGAAAGGTGAGTGTAGGTAGGGAGTTAGGAAGGGGATAGGTCAGTCCAGGGAGGACGGACAGGTCAAGGGGG